AGGACGATATATGTTCACTCGTCCATATTGAAGACCAGAAGTGCTACTGCAAAGCAGGCCTGGTCACCTAAAATTTCAGTTCTTCTTGTGCACAGAATCGTAAAAGTATCGTTCTGATCTTCACGCCGTTGTTGTGCTGTCAATAGTGCATTTGCTTCAGGGACTTGAATCTTGCCAAACGAGGAGATGTTTCAGTGAGAACCAACTTCTTTCCCGACTGATGCGTACTTCACAGGGTTATCGAGAGCAAATGTGCATGGTGTTTCAGAGTGTGAAATGCGATACGGAAGTGCTTGCCATCCTGACGTACGCACCGCAAGTGCAGTTCGTCACAGCTACAGTTAAAAAGGCAAAGTCTCTGCCTTACAATAATAGTGAGCACAGTTTGCTTCTTTTATGTAGTCTTTTGCAGTGTGTGTTTTATGTGGTCTTTTGCTTCTTTATCCAAAAGCAAATACTTTGTTTACTTTTATATTTACTGTTATTGATATTATTATTATTAATTATTAGTGTTGCACCGTATTACGTTATCACTATGAATATCAGGACCACCGCATGCTATTATTGGTAGAAAATGCTGTTTTAATTGTGCGAAATTGCCACAAGATTTTACTATTGACATGCGAATGCTCGTCACGATTATGAACTAGTAGTGCCAGAAAAGTGTCAGCAAAGTACCTCTATCTTTTTCATGTCTTTTTTTAACTCTCATCAAATGACGATTTATGAGTGAGTCTTTGAAATGCTTAAAATTTTCGTAGCAATAACAATTTATTCAGGCAATGTTTCTTTGTTATTCTCTTCAGAGCCATTTGCGAGAGTGATGCTGTTCGAAAGACGTCGGCTGCTGGAGCAAAAGCAGACAACAGTAACCCCTGCAACCCTGCCTCTTGGTTCTTTCGCCACGGACTGGTAATTTATTTTAAACTCTTTGTTTCTTAACTTCAGTTTAGCTTTGATTCGAGGCTCGATTTCTTTGAAGCGTGGGGGCACAATTGAAAAATTGCATTAAAGAAAAAAATTGTGGGCAGTTATAGATCTGGTGGTCAAGAGTCTTTGAAATATTGCAGTCTCTTCCCTAGCCTATGTTTGAAATTCGAAATGAAGTGAAAAGATGACGTAACAAAACTGAATTTCAGATTGGAAGAACTAACGGAATTTGAGTTAAAAGTATGGGATGGCATTTCGCGGTGAGGAGTAACGAGCTGAGTGTAGTAACATGAGGTAGCCAATCACTACATGGGTAGCAGCCATAGGGAATTAGAGAAAAACAGAAATTTGACTCAGTGGTCAATTTTACGATTTTACTTCAATGCTCAAAGTAATACTTCAAGTTTCACCACCGTTGCTTTACTCACTTACGTTTAGCGCGCAGCAGAGGCCATGCACGCCGAATTCCTCCTCGTCTTCATCTTCTGCTGGCCGTCCAACGGCGCGGACCGCACGAGCTTCGGATGTCGTTTTTTCCGAGTCGTTCCTGTTCCACGTTACGCCGCAGATGCTCGATAGGTGTCATATTGTAATCGAGGCTTGTTAATTCACTTTTTTAAACAACACTACTTTTAAAACTTAACTTCTCTTGCAAAAAAACATCCGTCATCCTACTCGTCAGAACTTATTAAATCCAGACTGGAACACACCAAGCTTGCCGGTGCGATCATGCGTTTTTGCACTAAACTTGCGGATCGCTAATAGCAGGAATAATCCCTGCGCTGCAGCCAAACAGTTGGGCTAATATTGGCCATGCTTTGGTGTCTTCCGGCATGCACAGAATGGGCATCGATTGGGATGAAGGTGTTGCATTATAGAGCCGCATGGACCTCCAGATACATGATTACCAGTTCTTCGTATGAATCTTGGTCGTTTTTTCGGTAAACGCTCGCCTTTCGGAAAAATGAAAAATGCAAATTTTTTGAAAACATGCAAGTTTCCAGTTCATTAATAACTGGCCAACGCACGGGCTGTTCATGCGATGATGCGTTTTTTGCACAGTTCCTCGCAGCTTTTGTCGCTACCGGCATCGGTTTTTTCGGCAG